ACATCAGCTTATTTGCAGTTACAGTTTTTACTCCATTTTGATACTGTCCACATGTTCACTTTACATGGCTTTTTTTTTTATCTTAAAGAGGAAAACAGAAACACAAATGACTCCTACTACTGCAACAATCAGTAGAGCAAATGTGGTGTAAAGTCCAGTCTCAGCATCATCGGCGGAGAGATCCAGACCGAGGAATTTCACGCTGTTAATGTTGATTGGTGGTGCAGCTGTTGGCGCAGTTGTTGCTGCAGAAGAGACACAGTAAAAATAATACTGTCGTATTAGTTGTGAAGATTTGCAGATAGTAACTAACCTGCTTTTCAGCAGGTAAGTTAGTTATTTATTTGAACATTTAATTTAAAGGTCTATCATTCAAAGTAGGCATCTAAGCAAATATTTCATTCTTTTACCTCCAGACTCTGTGTTCAGGCACACATGTCCTGATTCAGGGTCGGGGAATCCGTTGCACTTTATGACTTTGGTGTAGAAGTTTACAGAGCTCTTAGGCACTCGAGCAAGATTAGGGTCTGAGCGATTAACGTAGAACAGACCAAATCTCTGTGAAAAGCCAGAAGCCCACTCTAGGTTGTCCAACAGTGACCACGCTGTGTAACCACGCACATCCACACCATCAAGCAAGTAAGCTGTGAAGAGAAAATACGTACCTTCATATACTTGAAATTCAGAGTCTATTTTAAAACATCCATATTACACACAAAACATGATTATGTTATTTTCCTCTCCAGGACATTCCTGGCTTTAGATTTTTTTTTTATAAACAGAGGTTTTTGATACCTTTCAACACCTGGTTAATGTACTGTTCATAGTAGTAGATCCTGTGAACATCATTTAGATCAATAGGTCCCTGCTCTGAGACTCCATTCTCAGTGACAATAATTGGTGGATTTCCATATTCATTTTTGATGAAGTTCAGCAATCTGCGGATACCAAATGGTGCAACCTTTAGCCAGACGGAGGCTGAATCCAACCAAGTGGGATCAGGAACTGTCGCCGCACCACTGCGGAGGGCAAAATTTGTTAAATTACAGAATAAAGAAGCAAAGCTGTTCAGAAGAATTAGTTCCAGAAGACAGTTGTTTTTCAAATGTTAACTTCTTACATGTCTGCCTCAAGGCTTGCAGTATTTCCATGGTCCACAGGAAATGCCAGGGCAGATGTGTAGTGGTTCAATCCAAAGAAGTCATGAGTGCCCTTAATTCTCTTAATCTCCTCTTGAGTAAACTCAGGCAACCTGGAGAAATTTAAGGGAAACCAAACTTACTTATTATACTATAGAGCTACTTAGAAAATCACAGACAAACTTTTAAAGATTTAATAATAGGGTCTTGATGGATGCTCAATCATCCAGGTAAGGAAATCCCAAAAAGTTGATTCTGTTCATATGGAAGTAGTGTTGTCAGTGAAAAACGCTTGTGAACAGAATTAGCTTTTTGTCATTTAATAATAGCCTTCATAATACCGAGACTGTGGTAGACCAGCAGCTAGACTTCGGTCTCTTATTCTTGTCTTCATAATTTCACTGTAGTCACCATTAAATATGGGATGGGAAAACCAGCCAAGAGTGAACTGCACAAAGAGAAACATAATAGTCACTTGAAATTAACTGTTGTCAATTTTTCTTTTGTTAAATCTGAAAGGAATTGGCATACCTCCACCACACGTCTTGCAGCGTCATAGTCCTCCTGTCTATAAGGATTTCTGGGTTCGGACCAGTCAGAGCTGATTGTGATGGAGACTATGCCGTTCTGTTTGGCCCTGTACTTGTCATTGTAGAGATGCCAGGCCTCGGCGTGAGCTTTAATCAGGTTGTGACCAACAATGTAGGGAAGAGTGTCTGGTCCTGAGCTGATTCCTGGGGACAAACATGGACACATTTGCTGCCTATATGCTCTGTTTTTTTGTTGTTGTTGGGGTGGGGGGTTGTCACTATGGTTTAGAAATGTGAAGAACTGCTGTACAGATTACAGCTTATTTCAAAATAGTCAGATATTTACCTTGACCACATATCCATATCACGGACAAACAGTATCCAACAGTTGTTTATGTTTTTAAACCTATTTTGCACAGAGAGGCATTTTTTGGAAAATGTATTGATAGCAATGTTGAATATTCTTACACAATAAGACCAAAAAAAATAACTACACATAAAATAATTACACCATAAAGATGGTTTATTTTTCTACCTCCACACGTACACGGGTATTTCTGAAAACAGAGATTTTCTGTTTATGTTGATAAAAAAAATCTCCACCATGGTAGGAGTTTTTAAAAATATACTTTTTCAGTGACCCAAAATGCAGTTTACGTGTGGACGAAAGGCCCACATGCATAGAATAAGCTGTGTTTTCAAAAATACCAGTGTAGGTGTGGACGTGGCGTAAAAGAGGTAGTAGTTGATTTTATTGCTACCTGTAATTTATTAGTTTACATTTATTTGTTTAATTCTTCACAAACAGTTTGAGGTGTGAAATAAACCGCAATGGAATTTGAAAACAAAATATGTGTGTGTGTGGATGGA